TCCGTAACAGCGCAGGATTCCTTTTTCGTCTTGTCGGATATTCAGTTCCTTCTGCGACTTGGTCTGATGCTCGTTCACATAGTTCTTCTGATGGTCTCGAATCAAGCACATTCGACTTTCGTGCATCTCGATCCCGGTGATGGTTTGTGACGGTGAAATTTCCTTGAGAGCCGGTATGTGTTGTTGTATTGCCAATCTTCTTTCGTGGGGAAAATGACTCAGGGATCTGTTTATGAATCGAAGTGCATACACTAGCACTCTCTGAGCTTTCTCAAGGGTGCTGTATCTGCTCAGGTCGACCACTTCGTCCTTAGATACCTCTTCTGACGAGTTTAGAGTTACTGCCTCCACTGATATCATTGTCGATTGTTCGAAATCAGCAACCGTACTCAGCTTTGAATGATCCGGTTTGTTGGTGAATTCAGGTCCTGTCCACCAGATATGGTTCTGTAAAGCTTCTGCTGATAGTCCTCTTGTTCCGCAATCGGCTGGATTTTCTGCCGTTGAGACGTGTCCGAAGAGACACGTGGTGCTTTGACTGCGGAGATCATTGCTGATTCGTCTAATCTCTGATAATCGGTTTGTGACTAAAATGCCTGCGCTTTGTCGCGATGGAGGGGTTCTTATCCACCCTAACACGATATCCGAGTCTGTGTATAGAATCACTTCCTTGATTTTGCAGGATGGTTCCAACATTTCACAAATAAAGCGAGACATTCTTACGCCCAGCGTCAGTGCATTCATCTCCAACTTGGGAATCGTCATCGAGGTTTTGATGGAGGGCAGTTTGGATTTTGCCATAATGATGTTGGATTCTTCTTGCGAGGTGAGATACGCACATGCTGCGATTGCGTATTGGCTAGCGTCGGTGAAAACCACGAGTCTGTAGCCATCGGATTTGCTGAGAATTCGTCTATTCACTTTCTTGTAAAATGTTGCAATTTCTGATGTTATTTGATGCCACTGATCACGCAGTTGCGCTGGAAGCAGTGTGTCCCAATCTAATCCTTCCTTCCATAGTGACTGCATGAATATCTTTGCCGGTAGTAGTAGAGGCACCAGAAATCCCATTGGATCATACACAGAAGCAAGTTGCTGTGTGACTGTTCGCTTGGTATCTTTTCCCTTCAAGGTTGCCATCGAGCCTTTGATAATGAACTTGTCCGTTTCCGAATTCCATGCGATGCCTAGGACCTTGGGGCAGGTGGATTTCATCTTGTCGGCCTCATCAATGGCGTTGGAGAAGGTTTTGTCATTGGAGCAGAATTCCCTCAAGTTCATTTTGAGATCTTGGAAGAGCTTCTTTGTGTGTGCATACTTCAAAAGTGCTTCGTTTGAAGATTGTGCACCAAAGAATAAGTTGTCCACGTACAAATTCCTTCTTATTTCCGGGGCCATGTCGTCATCACTTGCTGTGGTTTCTAGGTGGTGATCTATCGTAGCGCTCAAGAGGAAGGGGGAAGCATTGAGTCCGAAGGTATCTCTGGTGAACCTGTAGATCACTATGTTGTCCGGCGAGGGTGGGAGTGAGATATTCCTGACCCAGATGCACCGTGTGGCGTCACGATCCTTTTCTTGCAGTCGTACTTGTAGAAATGCCTTCTCAATATCCGACATCACTGCGATATTCGGAATTCGAAATCGAAGCAAGATTCCGACAAGATCAGGCAAAATAAGAGGACCTTGATGGAGCACATCGTTGAGGCAGGGACAATCCTTATAATGGGCTGATGCGTCAAAGACGATCCTCATCTTTGTCGTTTCCTTAGAAGGGGTGACTACTGCCTGGTGCGGTAAGTAATGGATCACTTCTCCATTGTCAGCGTCCTCCGGTGCTACTTCTTCGATTATTCCCTTGTCACGTTGATCGCTGAAGACGTTATCGTATGCCTGCAACATTTCCTTATCGCCCTGGTACATTTCTAGAGTTCTAACGAGGCGTTTCATTGCTAGTGCCTTGTTGTCTGGGAGTTCTGGGTGATTCTCCTTCCATGGTAGGCGTACGTAATAGCCATCTTCTCTCTTTTCGATAGACTTCTTGAAGTTTTCCAGCACTTTTTCGTTTATTTGTTGCAGTTCCGTTTGCTGTGGACCAGTAAATTCTTCTGTGCCAGCAGATTCCAAAGACCAGTAGCGATCCCATGTCTCCTTCTCGATTTCATAACCTTGCAGAGTGCACGATACCGACCGTTTCGTAGGGATGTCTCCTTGTCGTCCGCTGATGATGTACCCTAATTTCGTTGGTATCAGCTGCAGTCCAGATGGTACTCAGTTTGTTGCTTGTTTCCATGAAGTTCCAGAGATGGTCGCAACCCAGTAAAATTTGCGGCTGCAACTCTCCACCTTCTATCGGCAAAGACAAGTCGAAATTTCCTCTCTTGATAAACTGCAAATCTTAATGATCGAGGCACGCTCGTTGTACGGTGCTTGTAATATAGTCGTTCTTATACAGCTGCAGCTCATGCTGTGTTCCCTCCTTGTCCACCATCTTCAAAAGCGTTAACGCACAGTTTTTCGTTTTCGGTGATGATGACCCGAATGTGCTGAGCTCGAGAGAAGTTGTACCTAGCGTTGGCAAGTTGAGCTCGTTCGCGAGCTGTTCTCCAATGAATGAGAGTTCCGAGCCTGTGTCCAATAAGACGATTGTTTCTCTTTTGTTTCCATCGGCGTCAAGCACTTGTACTGCTCCTGTAAGTAGAACTACCCTACTTTGTTTCCAATCGTTCTTCTTCTTTAGCTGTAGTACGGTTGGAGAATCGGCACTTTCCGTTACTCCTTGTTTTGTGAGATGAGTGTCTTGTCCGAGTGTCTCCGTTACCGCATGTTGTTTCGAAGAACTGTAGGATTTTGCAGCTGTCGTCGGCTGGTTTTTTGGTGTTCTCGCTCCCTCCGGCTTCTTCTGTTGACTGATAGGTGGTCTGCTTTGTGTCATTTCACTTGGCCTTTTTTCTGAGCATATCGCCGTGTGATGTTTTTTGTTGCATTTTCGGCAGTTGCCGCTAAAGCATGTCGCTACTCTGTGATTGTTTGACCCACAGTTTAGACATCGGTTGGACTCCAGCAGAAAATTCCTCCTTTGCGTTGCTGTGGGAATTTGCGGGCAGGTTGGCCACCTGTGTCATTTGCTTCCACAGCACTCGCACACGTTGCCTCTTCTCACGTTTGTCGGTGCCGGAGTTTTGATCTGCTGCGATTCTGCCGAGAGTCTGTCGTTTAGTTGTTCCTCTCGTGAAATGGCTTCATCAATGGCGTCCAACCATTGGTTTAGTGTCCATTCTTGTTTATTTCCCTCTTCGCTCCTCAACTGTTTGTCCATTGCTTCTCTTCGTATGCGTACATGGAATTTTTCCAGAAAAGTGTCGATTGTTAGTTCGTTGTCCAGGTGCTGCTCGTGTTCTTCCAACTGATTGGCTATTGCTGCTAGCTTGTCCCACAATTGTCTTTGCTCCAATGTGCTTGGTCCTCTTGCTGAACAGCTTTTCAGATTCCTGTTCAGCTGTCGTACTATGCCACTTTTGTCTCCGTATCGTTTGGCAAGGTGCTGAATGGCTTTCTCGTAGTTATTTGCCGAAACGAAGAACCGAGATATTGATTGCTTCGCCTCTACACTCAGAGAAGAAAGCAAGTAGTTGAATTTTTGGAGTTCTGTCAACTCCTGGTCGTGCACATTGGCTTTGAACAAAGCCCAGAAGTTGTCCCATTCCCATTTCTTCCCCGTGAATGTAGGGATGGGTATCACAGGGAGCTTGCTGACTGCCACAGAACTTGCCAAATCGGTTCCCGTTCTGTGCGTTTCCGTGATGTCAGTCTGCCACTTTCTCAGTTGGGACCGGTGCGCATGCAGCTTCATTATTGTTCCTTGTGCGCTCTCCACGTACTTGTCTAGTTGATCTTCTTCTTCGTCGGTAGCGTCTTGTAGACCGTCGAAGGCTTTCGTTAACTTGGTTACTGAAGCTTCCAGAAGATCTATGTACTCCTCGCATGTGGTGATGTCCATCGTGATCTCCTTGGCTCGTTCGCGTTGCGCTGCTACGCCTCCTTGTTCTATCCTTTGAAGGAGCTGAGCCGACTCTTGTAGCCAGTTCAGTGCCACATCATTCCTTTTTGTCACTAATCCTTTGTATGCTCTTATTGTTGTCGTCATGATGTAAGTGCTGATAGATGAGCTGAGCAACTGTGAGCGCAAATCTCTATTGTTCAATCGTAGCTGTACCGTGCAACAAAGCAAGAGAAGCTGTCGCTGTCGCAATAATAGGTACCTTCTTAGTTCGGCCGATGCACCAGTTGTATTGGTTAGTGGTTGGGATATAGTCAGAACTATAAGGCTTCGAATACCACTTGTGAACCACAACCACAAAGATTATCTGCCACGCGGGTCTTGAGCGTTGGACAACACGAGCACACCTCAAACTTGGGTAATTAAACTTTATCAAAGAAACAAATAACAATAACAAACACGGATAGAACAAATAACAAAATATACTATCAAATGATGAACTACAAATAGGAATGCTATGATTGGAAGAAGGCAAAATATGTGAGTGAATAATGTTAAAGCAAATGAGCAAAAGTAGTACATGTGAATAACTCTGAGTGTGCACTGTCAGCTATTTATATGCGTACGATCACATCCTCAAACCACAGCTGCGCGCGACATCCTACTGTTAGCTAAAAAACCATGAGCAATTCACATCTGATGCCAACATCTGCAAATTCCTCCAGTAGTAAAAAACGATGCAAATCATCGATGCTTTGCAACTGTCAAAGTATGACTAAACTACAAGGATATGATGAGTTTCTATATGAGGGAGAAAAGAACAATACGAGCTGCGAAGTTCGTATAGTAACTGTTCCTGGTCCACATTAAAAAATGCTTGAGACAATTTTATTCATTCTGTAAGAATCAAACAAGCCTCTAGCACTTGCCGTTAGAAAAGAAAAGGAACCTAGCAACTGTGGAGGCAAATAAGCAGGAAAAAAACTAAGTAAGTCGAACTCACCCGCTTGGAATCGTGCAAAGACGAGATCATCCGCTTCCGCTACGCTGTTGATTGAGGCTGCATGTCGACGAGATGACGTTTTATAAGGAGATGGGGTTCTGCACAATAAAAACAGTTTGTTTGAAGATAAGGTTATAAGGTACCTTGCAGGGCTATCCATGTCTTCCGATCCTATGGCTCGTGTAAAAGGTACCATATCCTTTGCAATGCTCCACTCACCAGCAGATAGCGCCTCTCGCAGAAGCCGCAACGCTTGCTAGAACGAAAAGAAGATTTGAGCATTAAAGGTCGGAAACCAAACTCGACCGACCTCTTGACTTGTCTGCGCACTTTCGATACTTTGCAAAACAATCAAATAGCTAGCAGCTGTGAGCAACTGACCATCGCGGATGCAAACCTTTGCAGATACTGTCATATTCATACAATATGTTTAAAATATGATTACCTCGAACAAATCATTCGGTGAACCAGTGACTGAGAACAGTGAGGACCACAATGCCAATTCAGTTTTTCGAGCACAATGAGCAACAGTGCGCAGAAACTCCGGAAATTCTTGGATAAATGCAACGCATCTGGGTAGCAGGGGATCTGTAGTGATACAACAGATCATAACAGGAAACAAGTGCAGAAGGTATAACTGTTGTACCACGTATTGGTTCACTACTTGTGGCTTCTTCTTCTAATACTCCATGAAGAAGCAACTCGAGAGAGTGCGCAAAGTGTGGCAGATACAGCGAACACCTAAAACAAAGCTCCTTCAAATAATATTGTTTGGAATGGTCTTTATAGCACAAAAAAGTCGAGGTCGGACAGAAAAGATACCAGCGGATGCAATAAAACCTTATTTCAGCTGAACAACTGACACTTACTGCACGCCATATTTGATGCTGATAGATGGGAGAAGTTAAGTCTACCTTATGGAGCAAACTGTACGCCCTATTGAGCAAAACTCACTTCACTGTTTCGATGCAAACTATACAGCACTGTCGCACGCTTAGCACCATTGTGGAAGGACATTGGTAAGCTTTCAACTCCAATTGCAAGGCAATCGTTGGAACAGATGACTGAAAAGAGCAGTTGAGTACACATGTCCCACGCAGTTCCCTCACCACATGCGCTAAGTTCCCACTAACCTAATGGACAGATATCCAACTCAAAAAGCAGCATTATTCTCTTGGAGATGAAAGATGTGTCCTGTGTAGTCATACTACGTCGTGCAGACACTAGCGGCAACCAAACCTAAATGATTGAGTTTAGATACGTAAGAATCGAGCTTATGAATGTAGGCACCCTCATGCCACGCGAACCGCAGTTGATTCATAAGGCGTTGATTAGATGAGGAAGTCCTTTAGGTTCTTCATCAGTAACTGCTCGATAATGCCAAATCTGTTCGACAAAAGACGCTACCATAATCGGTTGACTCAGCTATAACGCGCCATATATTAACACAGATACTCTTGAGATCAATACAAAAATCAAATACCTGGAACTGCTCTTCGGGATCGTCTTTCGTAGATTTACTAGGATTCAGCTTCAATAACCTACCGGCTTGAAACATGAAACTTGAAACTTGAACGGCGCAGTGTTTACTGCGCAAAACAAATTTCGAGCGCGTATTCTACTCCGATATGACGGCAAACCCGAGACGTAGTGGTCCCGGAAACATTGTGAAGATTCAAACAAAACAAAGGCACCGAATGATTGTTTGGAGGCTGAATTTCTAGTTTTTTGCTGACCGACTTTTAATGGCAAAGCATTAAAGGTGAGATGATATTTTCAAACGTCGCCGAAGAAGAGCAGGTGCTCACAAACAAGCACTGACAACGCGCCGCTTTCCTCATGAAGACACCCCCAATTTTTCATTACCCTGCGGCCTCGGTTATTTTCGGTTGTGATACTTATCACGATTAGTCGTGTCAAAAAATGATCGTAATCGAAAAAGGAGGATCGGCACGCAATGAACTCGTTGCATTATCTCGTACCTCCATCAAAGCCTACTCCGAAACCAAAGGCAGCCACAAAGAAAGCTTCATCTTCATCCTCAAGCAATTCAGATTCATATGCTATAGCAATCGCACAGTCCATGGGTTAGATGCTTTGGTTAACATGCGCTCATTTGCTGAACATGAGTTAGATGGCTTCTGAATATCAAAGAAGGTTGGTAGTACCTTCATAGTTTTCTGTTCATTTACTCCTCCTATATTTCTGCCGTGATGAGATTGTATATGATGCTGAATACCTCAAATTGTTGCACTGACACTACGTTAGAGTAGAAGGTCAGTCTAATTTAAGAGATCGAAATCAACATAAAACAAGATGTTCAGAACCTTCTTTGGTCTCTATTTACGCAAAAAAAACAATGGTTCAGAAAGCGAATGAAGTTCACTTAGGTCTTGTAGCGAACTCGTTCAATGCCACCCGTTCAAGAGCTTGCAATTAGTCTAATGGCGTACGCTAGCGCAACAGAATGCCTTCATTAGCAATTCATCTGATCCTTCAGGGAAGAATAATAGGTGCTAAATCTACACAAGCAAGTTCAATGCCTAAATGCGCGCCCGAATCATGGCTACCGCACGCGAACCGCTCGCGCAGCCAGCCCGGTAGGAATAGATGGCGCCCTATCTACGTGCATGAACAAAGACAAACGATGCAAACTTTATTTACAATGAACAAACGAACATTACGAATGATCAAGATGTTGGAATGATAGTACAGAGAACAGACTAAATACAGATATCGTGAATGTGAGTATCAGAAGATGCATGACAATGCTTGACTAAAACTAAATCTCACCACATTGTAGCAGCTTTCTTTCAAGACGAATCTCATTGTCAAAATTTTCTTAGTTACAAGTTCGGTAATCGAGATAATAACTTTTTTGCACCGGAAAGAAAGACTACAAAAGGTGAGCGATGATATGAGAGTAATAACTTTTTCGCACCGGAAAGAAAGACTGCAAAAGGTGAGCGTTGATATCAGTAAGAACAAATATGAGTAATTGCAATAATAATGCTGATAGACTCGATTGAGAAAGCTTTCTTAGTTTCACATAACATTCCCACTAACAATATCTACAAATAATTAAGAAATTCATAACAAATGGTATGGATACCTGTACTTACTTTGGATAGTTATATAATATATATAAAGTTATATAGATATATAAATATATATAATAAATACTTATAAAATAAACTATGCAAACTTTATTTACAATGAACAAACGAACATTACGAATGATCAAGATGTTGGATTGATAGTACAGAGAACAGATTAAACAGAATAATATAATCTATATATAATAAATACTTTATATATATAAAGTTATATATGAAGTTATATATAGTTATATAATATACTACTATACTATACTTACTTACTTACTACTTACTATACTTACTATACCTACTTATACTTACTTACTTACTTATACTTACTATACTTACTTTGGATACTCACTGCTTTGTGGAGGACAGTCACCTTTCGGAGCTGCACTTCTCCTAGGGGCTGCGAGGCGGTTGATCATGGCGTCAAGTTGATGTCTGGATAGTGCTCTCGGCGGGAAGGGCGCGACATTGGCTGTCTGAAAAGTATGAAAAAATTATTCTCAAGGTTTTAAGACACTCATCTTTTTTCAAAAAAAAAAACGACGCTAAAAGTGATAAAATTTGAAATTATAAGACTAACATCGTTTGCAGTGCAAGCATGTTCATGCATTAGATGGAATCTAATACTAGTAAGCCAACGGCCGATGAGGTGTTAAGCCTTACGAAGAGGAATTTCACTGACTTAGAAGCGTCCCATTGCAGAATAGGGTCAGGTGCTATGAGTGAGTGATATGCTAATGAATTACAAACTTCTATTGCTGCAAATTCGATTAGAGAAAATTCAAGGGCAGGTTTTATTTTATTAGGTCTTGTTCTATAACTTCGAAACATACCGTTCTTACTGACACGGGATTCCTGTCACACACTATACCATTACGCGAGACGGTACGAGGCCGCGTGAGTGAATTCAGAATTGGCGGACGGGTAACACTAGGTGGACGGACGTGCGGGCGAGTCATAGTAGGACCCACTGCAGGACGAGTGGAACTGGACGAGCGCACTGTTGGACGGACGGAAGGTTGCACCACAGTCGGAGCTCTAGTGGCGCTCGAAGACCTTGGAGCCAGAGGAACTACGGGCGCCCTTGGTCTGGTGACGCTTGATGCGCGAGCGACGGGTGGAGCGGGTGCAGTTCCGCTGGCTTTTTCTGAAAGCCGTGATTAGATGGAGTCGCTATTTCGCAGATAACTCACGCAAGGCAGGTCCTCCCTCTAGGCTGGGTCTTGCGGTGTAGCTGATACAAGCCACAAAGTATACCCCTTGACCAAGAGGGACCTGTCAGTATACAGCACACGCGCCGCTGCTCCCTTGTAGAGGTAGAGCACGGCGGAGTAACTGACACCCTCCTCCGGTCCTCTGCAGGTCCATGTCAATGATGGACGCGGTGGCACCTATAGGCAATGATTATTGAATTTGATCTTGACCATGTACTTTGTACCGTGGCGGCTATAAATAAGGCCGCCCGGCCGTTGTTTTAGTCATTGTTATTGTCTGCTATTTCTAGTCTTCCAATAAATCCTTCTATTACTCTCTCGTTCCCCACCTGGACATCCGCCCTCGCGCGAGCGACGGGTGGAGCGGGTGCAGTTCCGCTGGCTTTTTCTGAAAGCCGTGATTAGATGGAGAGTCGCTATTTCGCAGATAACTCACGCAAGGCAGGTCCTTTTCTAGACTGCTCTCCACTCGTAGAGGACTGCTGTTCATCTATGAGAGTGGATGAAGCACGTTGACAATTACCTAGGCGGGAGTTGCGATGAAAAAGTTCTTGGCGAAACTCACGAGCGGTGGGAAGTGCTTCGCTTCTGAGGAAGGATCCTAGAAAATCAGTGAATATACCATGCCACGGATGAAAGCAATGCGCTCAGGTTGGCGTTGCAATGCTGACGTACTGCTTGCTGTCGTATGCGGCGCACGACTGCGAGATACTCGCTCCGGCGGTGTTTGGCTAGAAAATTAAGGCACTTGTAGTACATTTTGGTAGTACATTTTGTTGGGAGAAACAACAATGAACTTACACTGGTCGCAGTACTGAAGTCCTACCCGTAGGTCTCGGAAGTGTGATGCCCGGACGAACACTCCTTTCCTGAGTCTGGCGCTGTGAAAGGTGGATCGTTTGGGACTAAAACAATTCAGCATGTAAAATGAAAAAAGAACTTTTCAAGAATAAAAGAAAAATGTTTTTCGAAGACGGTATATTACATCTATCCGAACGTGTGCAGCACTACACACTGTAACAGCACACGGAAACGAAAAAGAAAAAAAATCTAGTTTAGTCAATTACAGACACAGATGGCCACATTCATAACAGTCAACACGAAACTAAGAAAGAAACAAAAAGAAAGCTCCACGTCCGTTAATTGGTTTTGAAAGCAAATCCATTGAATCGTCATCCGACAGCAAGAAATTGTACTTTTTTTAAGCGTTCTTAATATGCAAGAGAAACAAATGTTCACATGGAGCCCGAAGCCTACTGAATTATATTAGGTTGATGCATAATTCTTGCACCAAAATTTTAGAAATTCTGTTACTTCATCCAGCTGCGATGAAATATTTTTTATAGAATAATTTTTATAGAATAATTTTTATAGAATGAATATCCTACAAACCACTGAGTCAAGCTTCATCTGTAGACCTATGATCTTATTTTCAAGGCCGGAGTTGAGCTTCTGAAGATGGTTGACAGAACGCGATTCGATTCATGAATTAACAATAAGATTAACTATCGGTAACTCTACAGATCTACAAATTTTTGAGACTGTTCATTGATGAGTATGCACTTATGATGGAGCGTTAGATTATGATGAGATCAAGCTTTGAAAGAAGTGTTAAGAAAAATTTAATTGAGAATCTATGCGTTTATTTAAATAGCATCTCATACGATACATTCGTAACTGAGAAGGACAACTGCAAACTTCCGCCCATACCGTACGCAGTGACGTCAGTTACGGTACTGGGTTTCAAAGCTGATCTAGTCAGCCAAGAATGAGTCATATGAGCCGCCGCTTGAGCAATGGCTTAGCTGAGGCATCCCTACCAGTTCCAAAGAGATAGTTCTTGCTAGTGGATAGTGCACCTCAAAGCAGAGTATCCACGTCATTTTGTGAAATTATAAAAAACGTTTAATTACACTCTCTTTTGCCCAAATTTCAGAAAAATCTCTGCTATAAAATTGAGATAATGCGCGGCAAATTGATGCAATCACAATCTTCAGAATTACTAAAACGAGCAAAAATTGTTCTGAAATCTAGATACAAAAATCAACCTTAAGTTCTCGCAGACGCCTCCTCGCAAGCCATCGACGCACACAGCACTGCACCAAAACGATCTTCTGTCGTCGCTTAATCTCTTCTCTCCGGACGAGATAGCCTCGCCAGTACTTTTGTATGATAATGGCGGATTTCTCATAGCGCATCTAAACATTTTCTAAGGTTCGACAACCACACTTCCGATGATTCTGCTGACCTTCATCACCCATGCGCGGACCTTGGCGGCGCGATAGTGGGCCTGAAGGGCTAGGACTGCGGCGCGGAGTTTCTGATATCGT